CAGCACGGAGTACTCTGTCTTCTCCATTTGGGTTGGTCTTGGGTGTCCTCTGGGGTGAGATCCACTGAGCGCATGTCTTCAATGATGACGTCCATCCACTGCTTTTTCAGTCTTCCTTGAGGTGAGCGGCCTCCAGTGTCGAGTTGGAGGGCTGTTCTTGACACTGTATTTTCTGCGCACGTCCATACCACTCTAGGCGCGCTTCCCTCATTTTCTTTTCATTGGGGCAACTCCTTCATTCGTCACATGATCCAGGCGGGTTAAGCCCACCTGAGCACCTTCATTTCCGTAGCATTGACGATCTGCTCATGTTTCTTGGTGGCTGGCCAAAAAAATCCCTTAAAATAGTGAGAAATGACTAACAGTTGGGTTGTACTGGGATTAGCTGAAGTGTTAGCTTCAGATCATTTACACTACTGTGCAAAACTCTTAACCCACCCTCATTTCCAAATACTTTGCAAGGGAAATGAATGCAGTGACTTATGGAAAAACTTGTGCAAACACTTGTGGAACTACAGTATGTAAGGCATAAACAGAGTGTGTGCAACTCTAACAAGCTTAAAAGTCTGAGATTTCTGAGGCAAGATTTCTAATAATTTATTTAAGTAACCTTCAGAAATAACTCTCCAGGCTTCTTGACGGGCATTCAAAACTCTTCTATGGATGTTGGTTGCTTTTTGTTCTCTCTCAAGATGATCCCACAGTGTTTTAATGTTGAGGTCCAGGCTCTGGGGAGGCCAATCCATGACACGTAGTGTTCCATTGTGTTTTTGTTCTATTCAGGTTTGCTTTTACTGCTTTGGCACTGGCTTCGGGATCACTGTAATGCTGAAAAATGAAGCCGCTGCCAATCAGACAGTGTCCAGATGGTATTGAAAAATAATGTTGAGGTCTGGGCTCATGAATGATAGTGTTCCAGTCATTGTGTGTTTTACTATTCAGGTTTACTTTTATTGCATTGGCAGTGTGTTTGGGATCACTGTCATGCTAACAAATCAAGCCAGTCAGACACATTTTAGACAGTATAGCTCAATGATTTAAACTGTGATGCTACTCCATTTTTGATAAGATCTGCAACACTAACTGAAATGCAACCTCAAATCATAGCAGAACCTCTATCATGTTTTAAATATGGCTGTAGACACTCTACTGAACTCCTCTAAAGATTGATTGATTGATTGATTGATTGTTTGATTGATTGATAATACTTTATTCATCTTGAGGGAAATTGGGTTAGGGGTGCCAGCCTTGCCAGCGCCATCTCACCCTTCCTACCATACATTCATTACACAAACATCACATGGGGAAGACAGGTCAGAGAGGTATAGTAATGGAAAATGCACAGCATGAGGAAAATCATAAAGATAATGACTTGAAATAAAAAAATAAAATGTGGATTAATCAGTCCTTATCATCCATTGTCACAAATTTTCAGTCCAGTTCTTGTGTTCTAATTTGGCATATCATAGCTTTTTCTCCTCATTTCCCATAGTTAAGAATGGCTTGTTGACAGCCACCCTTTCACCGAGGCCATTTCTGGTGAGGTTTCAGTAAACAGTAGCTGAATCAACGAAAGGCCAGCTGCATTTCACACGTCCTTTTTTAGGTCTTTGTAGGATTTTTCCCAACTATTTCTTAAGGACATGACTTTTAGAAACTGTTCATCTGGAATAGATACTTTTTAGATCTGCCTTTTTTCTCATTTCTTTCTTTCTTTCTTTCTTTCTTTCTTTCTTTCTTTCTTTCTTTCTTTCTT